GAGTCATTTTTGCACATTGAACTCCAATTATTTCGAAAATCTGACGTGTTAATGAAATTTAACTTGCGGTATCGTTTTCAGCATCCAAAAATCTATAAGGAACACCTCATCTGATTAAAAAAAACATTTTTTTGTATATCAATATCATCTTTATTCACAGTTTATTGATGTAGTACATTTTATCGATAGTGTCGAAAATGTGATACGTAGTTCACATCAATTTCTAAAATTGATGTTGGTGTCGCTAGCGTACAGCGATTTCGCCTGTCACGCGAAAAAGGCCGCCATGTCCTCTCTCAGGTTTCTCTCTGCTATGAATATCGGGCTATGAATACCGGCCTATAGCTGCGTTCAGCAGACTCAACAGTTTTGCAACCGTTTTGTGATTCTTTACTAAGATAGGACTATTTCTTTAAATCTAAAAGTATAATCCAATCAGCGCGACGAATCATAAAACGATTGCAAAACTGTTACGTGCATTCGTTTATGCAGCGGTTATATAGCACAGTGAGTATCATTTAATCTTTGTTGAACACTCGGTGAACAACAAGAATAAAGTAATACTTCTGCGCTAACCGCTGCATAAACGAATGTACGCCATGAGTCTGCTGAACGCAGCCTATGTGTGCGGTCTACTTGGCGCTACAAATGCTTCGAATCGTTTGGAACGTTGTTTTAACCGGTCCACATGGCGCTTCAAATGTGTCCCAATAGCACGTATGACGTCATTAATACATCATAGGTTTAAGGTTTCCACTTCCACCTTATTTCCAATTACTTCCAATGCTACGGGCCTGCGCACAATAGAGGAACAAGAATTAGATATTAAGATTTCAACCTATCAGAAACCGTGTATTCCGATGTAATCAGTTTCTGATAGGTTAAAATCTTAATATCTAATTCCTGTTCCTCTATTGTGCTCAGGCCCTACTGCTTGGAGAGGTAGACTGCGATCCACTTGCTTCTTCCAAATGCTCTGGGGCCCTATTCTTGAATCTGTACGCAACTTTACGTATACGCACGTTGCGATTGACGAAAAAGCGTATACGCTATTGATGTTATATTCTTGAGTACTGTTTTGTAGCACTCGCAATGGGAAACGTATGCGTTTTCTAATGTGCGGAAATACGTTTGGTAACGTTGTAAAATATATTAGCTTTCTACAAACATTAAATTCAAAAACGTAACACCCGACAGCGGAATTGAGCGGAACGAATGGTAATTCGTACCGGTAAAAGTTATTACGTTGAAAAGGTAATAACAATTGAATCACATTTAATTAGTTTTCTTCTGTCTAGCTAATACAACTAAAAAAATGTATGTTTTCATAAAGTTTAAAAATATATATAAATTTCTTATCCTGACAATATTTCTTGTTTTAATTATGTACTTGTAAAGATTTAGGTTAGAAAGTCTTAAGCTATTTGTTATTTTAAACAATATATTTTTCTATACTTAAAAAGAAATATTTTTTATAAAGGTAAATATATGTATGTATATACATATATGTATATACATATATTTGTATGATTTTTTAAAACGAAGATATGTGTTTATAAAAAAATATTCTATGTAATTTGTATAATATATTTCTAAAATTTCATTTATGTTATATATTAATTATTTTATAAATGTTTATTGTATAATATACGAGGTGTGATCAAAAAGTAAGGTGATTTTTTGAATTT